AGATTAAACGCTGAGATATCATAGCAAAAATGGACAGTAAAAACATAAAAGTAAAAGAAACCATGGCCTGTGGATTATTATAATTTTACATACAGAAGCTCACGTCTCCCAGTTCATAATTAAGGTCGCTGGCTGCTCAGCCTCTGAATTGTACATGAACCTGTCCTCCACCGAGGAGGCTCACGGCATGGACGGGGTTAAAGGACAGCTTGTCAGGTTCCCCCGGAGCAATGCACTGAGGACACGGCCAAGCAGTGAACTCAGCTGAGTCAAAGGCATGTTGTCATGCGTCCCCTCCATGCAGGCCACATGGTTCCTCCGGAATGGGAAAACAGCAGCTTGCAAGCTCACACACACACACACACACACACACACACACACACACACACACTTGCCTGCTAGGAGACCACAACAGCAGCAAAGACAGAAGAGCCCACAGCGCCCACTACAAAACCATACAGCACCTTGGTGTCATGTGTAGCAGCTTTTTATCTGGCATGCACAACCACAAAACCGCAATCCTATACATCCCACTGCCATAAAGATAACAATAGAGTGACAGCAACAGGCGCTCTCAATAAATCAGTGCAAAGTGCATACAATTCCACGGCACCACGGCAATTCCATCGAAGGGGGAACAATTCAAACGCAATCAATGAATTTTAAAAACAAAAACACAAAACAAACACGTCTGACATTTGCAAATAAATCCCACCAACATGTGCTGTCCAGCTCCAGTCTATGGGAGTACCAACGCTGCGACATACAATGAAAGCAGAGGATGCCTAAGTAAAAAGGTACAGCGGCATCACAGGGAAGCAAACTCACCATGACAGCTGGAGATCTGAAGATGTATGCGTGTATTAAACATTTACAAGATGTTATCAACCCTGTATTATGCACCTGCTAGGCCCCGCCCCCTCTGGCACACCCATTCCCGCAGGCCACTCCCACACCGGTAAGAAAACGGATCGAGCTGCTTGTGAAGGAAAAAGGGGCTATAACAACCAATCAGCAATCAGATTGCCTCGGATCAAACCCTACAATGGTCCTTTCACAAGGTGAACCAACTTTGTATCAGTTTTGGAAGGAGCTCAGCCTCCTGAAATGACTTCCTAAATCATAGATGAACACAGCACAGGGAGCATTAGATTGCAAGCTCTATGGGCCACAATGGACATGACTGGTTCATTGACAGCACAGTTGGTGTTAAATTGCTGGCTGGATGATGGAGTAACAAAGGACATTTATTCCAACACAAAGTACAATGTGGATACAAAGTATTTCTATGAGAGGTAAACATAACAACAGAATCCTGAGCTGCACCGATCAGCAAGGAGACAACACCCTGGACCAGGGGTAGGCAACCTCGGCACTCCAGCTGTGCTCAAACTACAGATCTCAGCATGCCTCTGGGAGTCATGCCGGTGGCCGTCAGTCTTGCAATGCCTCATAGGACTTGGTTCTACAACAGCTGGAGTGCCGAGGTTGCTTCGCTCTAGAGCAGGGATGGC